TCCTGCTTGTTAGCTGAGTCTGGACATAATTTCTGTAAAATGAGTTTACAATAACCTCCTTATTCATTTAAAAAATACCTTACAATGCATCAAATTCAAATGCAGACAGAATCTAAAAGTAGAACTTTGACATGGTTGAAGGTATGTACCCACATACACACACAAACCTGTCTGTAAGTGAAAATTAAGACTAGAGTTTTCTTCATATTGCAGTGACTTTTACCTTGTCAAGTAATATTTATAGCAACATTACAGAAGATGTACTTACATTTTTCCTCTGTAGATTTGTAATTCCCCAACAACCTTCACAAGTATCAAAGTCTATTCTTCTAAATTTCTGGTTTCTGCTATTTTAGAAGTATGTATGTATGTAGGAAAATAGATAATAGCAAAGGAAGTGCACCTCAAGCTTCACGTGACTTTCAACAACACACTAAAACTAGAGTTGGCTGCTATAAGGAAAAAACTGTTCAACAGTTAATCTTCTATTATTATGCATTCTCACAGATTTATAGTTGCTTTTAAGCTTGCTCTTTAGAAGTATAAACAAAGGGACACTATCATTTCCTAATTCTCACCAGAGACACCTAAATGCATGTACTAAAGTAAGTGCTTTAAAATTTTGGGATGCTTAGTTTACCAATTTAAACCACTGAAGTAGCTGGTTTGTCAACAAAATTAAGAATTATGTAAACACTGCAGTAACCAGAGTTTAACATTTAAATCTCTTGGAAATCAGAAGAATATGGGTGAAAAAAAAAACCTTTATGTTTTAACAACATTTGCTTTTGAAAAACCATATTCCCCTTTAAGGAGTTCCTCTATTAAAAACAATAAAAAGACAAATCCCACAAGCTGGACTCCATCTTAAAACAAAAAAAGAAAAATCATTAAAATATTGAGCCAATACCAAAGCCAAACAGCAGAGGGCAATGGCTAGTTTAAAAATTAATAGGAAATTCTGGTGGGCTTTTTTGTGTCACTAGTATTTTACAGTTCTGTGAAAAATTCAGAATATTAAAAAAACAGATGGAGAGGAAAAACCAGAAGACAGTTGCTCTGCATCCAAGCAACACAGAAAGGATTAAGACAGTTTAATAAATGTTCGTAAAAAACCCGACTGTTATTTTGACGATAACAAGCTGATGGAAATCAGAGGTGAATGACTTTAAACCAAACCACTGAAGCAACACACCTTTCTCTTTATGGCCAGTAACTGAGGTTTTGTCAGCCGGGGAGGCGAACTCTGCTGATTCTCATCCCCGCCATCCTCCTCGCTGCTTTCCTTAGCTGGCTCTGTGGGTTGCCCTCGCTCTCCCACCACTGCCACACTCTCTGGAGATCGCAAATATTTATTTTTAGATTGTACTTTTGCAGGTGATTGCCTACTATTAGTTCTCGTGGAGAATATTTCTTGCTCTTCCTTTTCCCAGCAGCTAGCTTGTTCCATCAGACGCTCAGCCTGAAGGGTTGAGGTTAAAATAATGGATCACTGAAACAGAATTTACTTAGCCACGTCCTTTACGTTCAGCTAAAGAGTTACAATAAGCCACCCCCGATTAGCACTGCTGGCTAACCTAGCAACAACACTTCAGCTGAATCATCTAGGAGCTCCTTCACAACAGTTAGGATAACAAACCAAAGAAGATTGCATTTCATGGGATATTTAGCACTATTAATGATGCAGTGAATTGATTTAAGTCCTTTAGCACTACATTACATGCCCACTGACATGGATCACTTTGAGCAAGTTCATAACACAAAGAATCAATTGACACTGCAGCCCCTGAGCTCTGCACCAAATTTGATCTGATTATATGCTCTTCGGCTACCTCGAGAGTGAGAAATACAGCCCTATGACAAGTGATTCAGGTTTTAAGTTTTCGTATTCATCCCCCCAAAGTGACCACGTCTTGTTACACAGCTTCCAAAAATTGTGCATTACAATATTATCAGTATCCTCCACCATTAAGCAGTAGTCAAAGTTAAAACCGTTCTATTTAAGACAATTTAATGTTAAATACTCAAGAGTGACGAAATCCAAAGGAAGGAAAATTCAGAATAAGAAGTTTGTGCTATTACCTCCTTTTCGGCTTCCCTCTCTTCTTCAGAAACTGCAGCATTAGAAACTAATAAAGGAGTCCATCTCAAGCTTTCAGGATCTACTTCATTGATACGTGGATTTGCTTTCAGTTTCTCCATATGACTTGAAATCAGCTTCTCCCTTCTAATTATTACGAATCTACGATCCAATGAACAGTAATTTGGTTTAGAAAGTTATCACCTAAAACAACCTTCCTATAGTTTAAATCCTTTCACACAGTAACCTGTAAAAATAGATGGCTAAATAAATGGATACATCAAACTGAAAATATTAGCCGACACAGACAGATCAGGTGCTTACACTGCTGTTTACTAAAAGGAAGTGAGGAAACAACAGTATATGAAGTGAAAGCTCAATACTAAACATCACTAGGGCAACAGAGATGCAAATAAAGCAGTAGTAGTAAGTAAAATAGTAGTAAGGTAGTATATAGAGTAATGTATAGAAAGTACAGTAGTATACAACTACTCTAAACCGATCCAAGAGGTTCAGTGTTGGCACTTCAGTTACTGCCAGAACAAACCTACAATTTTAATATGACATACAAACATAAATAGAAAACACTGGATGAGCAGGGAGCTTCTGAAGGAAATCTCATGGAAGAAAGAAGCGTATAGCTCATGTAAGAAGGGACTTGTCTCTTGGCAGAAATATAGGGAAACCGTCAGGACATGCAGGAAGGTAATAAGAAAGGCCAAAGCCCTCTTAGAACTAAAACTAGCAAAGGCAGTAAAAGAGAACAAAAAGGGCTTCTTCAAATCTATCATCAGTAAAAGGACCAATAGGGGAAGTGTGGGCCCACTGCTGGATGAGGCACAGCCCTGATCACTGAGGCTGCAGAGAAGGCAGAGCTGCTGGATGCCGCCTTTGCTTTGGTCCTTAATCCTGAAGCCAGACCCTGTGAACTCCAGACCCGAGATACAGGGGAGAAAGCCTGGAGGAGGGAAGACTCTGCTAGTCAGTGGAGACTGGGGTAGTGATCAGATAAGGAAATTGAATATCCATAAGCTCACGGGCCCTGATGAGATGCACCCAAGAGTACGAGAGAACTGGCTGAAATTGCCACTCTACCACTCTCCATTTTTGCTAGA